TATATATATATATATATATATATATATATATAGCTAGCTGTTGGCGTAGATAGCTGACTGTCCTAGCTAGCTGGCTACCTGTATATCTACCTATCTATGTAGCTAGCTAGCTGTCTAGCTAGCTAGCTAGACAGCTAGATAGCTAGCTAGCTAGCCAGCTAGCTGTGCGTTAGTTACCTGCAGTCATGGGTATATCTGCATATCCATAACCTAAGAGAGAATGACGACCTAAAGGAGACACAGAGACAGCCTAAGGAGACAGCAGCAGCAGCAGCAGCAGCAAAAGGAGACACCTTTAGGGTTTAGGGTTTAGGGTTTAGGGTTTGGTTGAGGGAAAAGGGATAATGAGCTACAGAGACAAGAAACCCAGAAAACGCATGCACGAAACCCTAAACCCTAGCACCAAACCCTAAACCCTAGCTCCAAACACTAAACCCTAGCTCCCAACCATAAACCCTAGCTCCAAACCCTAAACCCTAAACCCTAAACCCTAAACCCTTGAATACCATTAAATAAATGCGAGGGGGAGGGAAGAGAATATCTAAATCAGGCATTCTCCCCATATAACTCTTAAACACTGCACTTATGGCCTATAAATACACCGCAAACCCTAAACCCTAAACCCTAAACCCTAAACCCTAGATGGACCCAGGTCCTAGACACCAAACAATAACAAACCCTCTAAACATCAAAGCTGACGCATACTTCAGGCCTCTACAGTCACTGTTTAGGGTTTAGGGTTTAGGGTTTAGGGTTTACGTCGCTGAAGGCGGCAGTTCCATCGCCATTCCCTTTTATGCACATTGGCGTTAAACCCTCCAACCTGTACAAAAAAAAAAAGAAATAATGAGGGTTTGCTGATTAGGGTTTAGGGTTTAGGGTTTGCGGATTAGGGTTTAGTGGTTGGTGTCTAGGGTTTAGGGTTTGGTGGCTAGGGTTTAGGGTTTACGACTTGCGATCTTGAGATTGCTTAAGGGATTGACCAACCGCCTGCTCAACAGTCCACCCTGAACACTTAAACCCTAAACCCTAAACCCTAAACCCTAGAACCATAGACCCTTGTCTGTGCCTGCCGCTTCTTGTTCTGCTTATCATTGGAGAATAAGGGTTTAGGGTTTAGGGTTTAGGGTTTAGGGTCCATACCCTTTCCTGGGGCAACAATTAAGTAGCGTATATATCTGTATAAAAACCCCACAAATAGCACTGGGGAATATTCAATTTAGGGTTTAGGGTTTAGGGTTTAGGGTTTAGGGTTTGGCTTACACAGCATGAGGGAAAAGTCTCTCCCATAGAGCACGCCAGAAGCTGCTGTGTCTGTACAGCTCATCTACTGCAGCACTCGTCAAAACCCTAAACCCTAAACCCTAAACCCTAAACCCCAAACCCTAAACCCTAAACCCTCGGTTGTGTTATGACTCTGAGCTTTAGGGTTTAGTTTAGGGTTTAGATTAGTAGGGAGTAACGTACAAAAGAGAGGGGACTTTTGCGGTGTATGTGGGGG